AGCCACCGAACATGCTGAGCATGTTCGGCCGGCCCGAAGCCACCTGATGTACGGCTGATTTCAGCCGATATACGGCTGAAATCAGCCATACCAGCCTGGCGTGGATAGCCGAACAGCGTTCGGCTCACTTCGCTTTAGGTCGGTCATTCACTTGGCTGCCTACGGTAGCTTAGTGAATAGACCCCATAGTTTGCATGGCAAGTATAAATGGTGGTATTAGTAATGCTCACTTCACAACCAAACAGCAAAAGTCAAATAGGTTGAATGAGCAAGTAACCGCTGGGGAAAATCAATACTTGCTGTTAGGTGTACACTGGTTAACAGGCAGATGCAATCCTGGAGTCTGTATCCTGGCTGTAGAGGCTGGTAAAGCAGTGGTTTTAGGTGCAGGGAGGTGAAGCACTAAAAGTCCCAGAAGGATCAGGCGGGTAGACAGGCTCAGGAAGGTTCCTTGGGGACAGTCTATAATTCAGGGGGGAGAGCAGGTATGCTGAGAGCTTTGTCCAGCGTCCACACTCATTGCAGGAACACCAGACAAGTGAACCCTTACTGCTTAAGCTGAGGAGGAAAGCGGAGCGGCGTGATGTCGACGCACCGAGGGCGGACTACCTTCCATGTCCGGGATACCGAAGAGGTAAGTATAGCGGATCCATTACATATGGCAATTTACAATACAATTTACTAACTCATATAAATATTAAAGGAATATTTTCACCAAGTTGTGGAGCTTGTATTTCTGTCTTTTTTGTGACCATAATGCAAGTTCTGCTTTTAAAATCTAAAGTTGCAATAGTATACAATAAGAATTATAGAGCAATAGACCATATGTTGCTATAACCACACCATCTAGTTTATTGATGACCCAATGTAATGCAATCAAAGGTAGTCATCAAAACAGCATGCATTCTTCACCACTAGAAAACAAAAAATTTTAATTGTCAAGAGGTTAAAGATTTATTATTATTATTATTATTATTATACAGGATTTATATAGCGCCAACAGATTGTGCAGCGCTTCACAATATAAGGAAGACATTACAATCACAAGATGATAAGGAGGGCCCTGCCTTTGAGGGCTTACAATCTAAAAGGGAGGGGGAATCTAAAGATGGGATTAGATAAATCTACAGGCATAAAATACTAAGAAATGAGATGATGATTAGCAGAGTAATGATGTAATGATGGCCTTTGTATTTTTGACTGCTTTTTTTAGTATGTTGAATGTTGAAAAAACTGTAACTCTGCTTGCCTTCAAGAGGACAAACATAATGTTATGCACAACTCTACCTGTAATGCTGAAGTACTCATAGCACAAGTTATCACTATTTTCCTATTGCCAAAAGTGTAATTGTAATTCCACTGCACAAGAAATTATATGTATACTATTCTACTCACCATGTATATAAAATGCTGTGTCAAGAGCATCATTAAATTGCATCTGACGATTCCCATTCCAGTCTGTAGTGCAAGCTGAAATTTCCTCAGGGGCAAGGAACACTCAGAAGTACAGTGAGTGGTATGTTACTTGCTAGCAAGAGTGACTCTCATCATAAATATTTCTGCCTAGATTAGATAGCTCCAAGCAACATGTAAAATCAATCAGTGACCTGCTACAGTTATCCAGGAAGCACTAACGCTGTGCTTAAGTTAGAAACAAAATCCTATTTAACTTTTACCCAAGTTTTGTATTCTTTGGAGTAAAATATGCATTTTTTTTTCAAAGAATGGGGGATGCTGTACAGACATCATAATACAGTAATTACATTTTAATTCCAAGGTTTATTGGAAAGCACTGAAGTCTCTGACAGAAAGGGGTAGGGACATAAACTAGTCCACCCAGTCCCTGTTTGTAATCTGGTGTGCCTAAAATGCATCTGGTAGTGATGCTGGAACACACACTGAAGATGTCTGTTCCTTGCTGCCTCGTACACAGTCACAGATCACTTTAATGAAGACAAACTATGAGGGTTATTCGGCAGAGCTGCACCTCCGGCAGGCTACTCGCTGCTGTTTGGCCTATTCTCACAGGGGCCGAACAGCAGTGAGTGAATAGGCTAAAGCCGCCGAGCAGCATTCGGCTCGACTATTCTGCTCGGTACCTCTGTGGTACCGAGCAGAATAGAAAAACCGTAAAGAAAAGTAGAAAAAAAAAGTTGAAAATTATTGGGCGGAGTTAGCAGTGACAGCTAGCTCCACCCAACTGTTTCCTTTTTGCCCGGGACCTGCTGTCATTACAATGACAGCTCAGCGCAGCCGGCAGTGATATCAAGGCCGGCCCCACTGAGCTCTCATGACAGTTCAGCGTCCCCTGGTTACTTGGTAACCAGGGGACGCTGAACTGTCATTACACGATGAGAACTCGGAGGAGCCACCGTGATATCACAGCAGCCGAGTACTCATTGGTAACCAGGGGACGCTGATCTGTCATTGCAAGTGGCTGGAGCCAGCCATGAAGTGACGGCTGGCTCTGCCCAGCTGTCAGTAGCAGACTGTCAGCCAGCCAATGGCTGGCCGTTCAGCCCGCTTCGGCTTTCACCTTGGCTCAGTTGAGGCGAAGCATATGCATAGGCTGATTAGATCCCAGATTGTGCTAATTTAGTGTTTTTTGTTTTTATAGATTAGATTTAAATAGGAAGGTCCACATTATAATAAATGTGTTGTAATGATTATAATTAGGGATGCACCGATACCGATACTAGTATTGGTATCGGTGCTGATACCGAGTATTTGGGTGAGTATAACATCTTGTATGAGTTCTATAGTGCCATTTTAATGTTGAGTAAATGTGGAGTTATATCAATTATGTACTACTGAATAACAATATTTTTTTAAACATCTTTGTGACATGTTTGTGTTTTAACAGGAATGCAAGGCAAAGACATGGAGGCCCAGCATTATTTTAAAAAGGGATACTCTAGTTATCAGAGAGGTCAGAGAAGATGACATTGGAAATTATACCTGCGAACTGAAGTATGGAAGTTTTTTAGTGAGAAGGACTACAGAGTTGACAGTAACAGGTATTTAAAACTAAGTTTCTTTCTTTTTCATCAATGTGCAGTTTCCAGACTAGGATCTCTGCTGTTTGGTCCAGAAATACCTTTAGCAGAACAACGGACTAGATTAGGAACTACAGAAATATTTTTACATTTGGGATAGAGTTTTTTATTTGAAATTGAAGAACCAATTTTCTGTATTCAAAATCTCACCCAGATAAGGACGAGTCTCTGATAACAGATGTCCACAAATAATAACTGATTCCCTATGTCCTGTCGGCCCCATATTATTATTATTATTTTGATGTTTTAATTAAAAAATTGGTGCACTCTCCAAACTATTCATGCCAGGCACACAGAGGATATAAGAAAGTACCCCAACATGATGGCTGCTACAAGATTTAAGGCCCCCTATAAGTCAATATTCACTCCTATATGCTACCTCCTCTCCTGGTAAACTAGTGAAGGCTCCAACTGATTCATTACTCATATAACACAAGACAAGGAAATACTTATATTATAAAAATGTTATAATTATTATTATAAAAATATTATTATCATTATTAGTACTACATTACACAAGCACATACAGTGCAATTTTCAAACAAATTAGTAACTTAATTCTTAAATATTTTGGGGGATGATAAACTAATATACCATTACAAACTTTGGCCTAATTGCAAAAAAAATGCAAGCTCATAGCAAATATGAACCTGGTTGCAGAAGAGCAGCCGTTCCCACAACGCAGTTGATGACTTCCTTACCTATGAAAGATTACAGTTTAAAGTGTTTGGTATATGTAAGCACTTGATGCTCACCACTGTTCCCAGATCTGTGCTGGCTGTCGGAATTGACCTAATGCCTGCAATGTGTTATGGCTTTTGCTACCATTGTAAGAGTATTGGACACATCTTGACCCCATTAGCTCTGTCAAACCCTTGAAGCTCAGCTACAGATAAAATATCCATAGTTCTGCTTCTTATCTGACGCTTTTAGCCAATTAACTTTAAGTAGACAAATGGTATAGCCTCCTCTTGAGGACAGGCGTTCTTGTCAATATCAGCCTTTTCCATTCAAACATAACACTGTTCAAACACATTCATTCTAATGCAAAATGTGTTTGACAAAAAATGCTGTGTTTCAGATGATTTGCTTGCAACTTAATGGGGCATGCTGCACCTCAAAAGAAATGCTGTGTTTGAGGAAATGCAATGCAAAGCAGGTCCAATGCAGCTTCTAAACTGATATTAACACTACCCCACCTTTAGTCAACATCTGCTGTCTTCAATTTAATGTTTTTTTTAAATGTAAGTCAAGCACAGGAAAACAATGTCCATCTATGTGGACCCTTACACAAGCCTGTGTTTTGAAGGGCAAAGCAAAAGGTTTGCTTCAACATTTCTCCTCCCTAGTGTCATATACTTACCTTTGCTTTGCTTTCCTCCTACTCTGTTTAAATATTGACAGCAATACCCAATATTTCCAGGTATGGAGAAGCATGTGACTGACTCCATGTGAAAACACTGGGTCAGTCACCAAACACCAGCACAGTCCCGTGGGAGAGCTCAGTGTAAGCTACTACTTACGCAATCCTTAGCTTACACGAGATGGCTTCTCACCATATTTATCAAGGAACAAAGGATAGGTATTATGTGCTGCTGCGGAGATTAAAGTTAACATGTTTTCTTGGCTTGCATGGTCAAAAGCACTGGTTCTCTTTAAATCCCTACTTTAAAGGAAAGGCAAGTTATACAAATTGATACAGAAATAAAATTGTGTTTCAGTGCTAAACTATACTTTTCCTCTACAAGTTTATCTGTTTTCATGCTCTTCACACAAGCAAGCATCAGCTGAGTTAACATTTTAAGATGTCACTGCAGAAATAATGTTTTTTTTTCCAATGACAGCAGTTTATTTATGACAAGCTGAAATACATCCTAAGCTCACAATTTGCAGCACAAAACATTTTAGCATTTCCACAAATCCATCACTAACTGAAATAAAACACATGGAAAAATGAAACTTGCCACTAGTAACATCCTTTTCGGCTGTTTTATTTATTTCTAAATGTTACACTAATAAACCAAGATCCTTTGATAATGGTGGGTAATACCCACGTGTCAGATTACTGCAATTGCTTTGGGTTGTAAAATAAATTCTATAGATCAGTCAGTCTAGCAAATATCCCTTTTGGTAACAGCCTATGGTGGCTTTCTAGTATATAAAATGAATTTATTTTGCTCCTGGGGACAGCTAATTATTGTACAGTGATTAGAAAAAATTGTACACATCAATATGTAATTTTCAGCTCAGTCTAATATGCTAGCAATAACAGATCACAGCCATTTTTATTTGATTTACATCACCATAGCTGTCAGTTATGTTGTTCAGCTGATAATATATGCACTTACGCAAGGACAGCCATAAAGCCTCCAGATAAGGCAAGATCTGTGTTTTCTATGGTATCTGTCTAATCATAGATATTTTACCTATGTTCCAAGGCTTTCAGCCATGAAGAAAAGAGGAAATGTCACCTAAAAATTCAAAAAAGCATAAAATGTGTGAAATATTATTTTATGCTTTGATTGAATGCTTAATTGCAATGTTCATAGCTCTTATAGTTTCTGAAATTGTTCAGCTATTGAACAGATTCAGAGGGTACTATATTATGTGATCTTTCTTAAGATTTTTATATTTAATGGAAACAGAGACTTACATATTTTTTTAACTATACTGGTAGGCCTATATAATTTATAAGCAAAGTGAATGCTTTTTAATGAAACAAAAGCTTGAAAAAAGATGATAACATCACAATGTGGCCTTTTTATTCAGAAGTAGCATAATTAAATATGTAAATGTTTCTTTGTATGCCAGTTTTGAATGGCTGCAAATTTAGCTATTAATCTGTGTGCAGATTTAATGCAGAAAGAAATATATCACAACTGGTTCCAAGAATTCAAATAGGCATCCCTGATAGAAAGAAAAACCAGATATCGAAAAAGGAACATTTTTAGGCTGCCGATAGTAGAATAATGGAAAAACCATTTGTGTTGTGAAGTCACTTTAGCAATTAATTTTGTTTGTCTCAGCTGTGTGGTCTTCAACAAAAATAATAAAAACAAGTGTTAACTTTATCTAACACATACAATGCATAAACGTGCTGCTTCCTTGGTTTAATATTATTTTCTGTGACAGCCATTAAATAAAAAACTGTTCAGTATAGCAATATTATAGTCACAAATGTATATTATAGCATATTTATATTAAATTATATTTTGTATACTATTGTCAAATAACTTGGTTGGAAACTTTTCTTATGTATGTTTTTTCTTGCTATTGTAAGCAGGGCAGAACAGAACAGAAAACCAATATTAGTATTACCCATGTGGAATCTTGTGCACTACATACAGCCTTTTCAAACTGTCTGACCAAAGTTTTATATTGTTGAAACACACTGTCATAAGGATATAGCATGCCATAAGAACACTGTCACTTTAAAATACATGTCAAATACTCACCTGTGCCACCTTCAATAAATCCAGTCTTCATCCTCTTGCAGAGCCCTTGCCACCAGGATTTTCAACAACTAACACTTGCTGGTGTGTCAAATGCTTGTGCCTTCACTTGATTTAGCTCTCTCCTCTGTGCCTGCTTGCAAATAATTGGATGATTGGAGTGAACATATCACCTTATTCGCTAAGCTAAATGTAACTTGTACATTCAGTTTGTACATACAGTACACTTTCCAAGGTGAATATTGCTGAGGTAACCATCTATATTCCTTTAGTAAATCAACCCCATTGCATTAGCACACTCATTGCTTACATGTACGTAAAACCTGGTATTGATACATCTGACAGAATTACATCTGGAGATTTACACTGAAGAGTAGAGGTAAATAGCAGGAGAAAAAGGAACTAAAGAAACAGGGCTAGAATACTCCAAAGAGGTTAACAGAGACATGGGATCTGGTTTTTATGGGACCATCTGATACTTGTGGTTCTAGACATATTTTTAATCAGGAGGTGGACAATGATCAATGATGATGTGCAAAGTATATTAACTTATAGGGGGCTATTCACAAAGCTGCCGAAGGCAGCCGAGTGAATAACCCAGCCGAAGTGAAGTGAGCCGAACTACATTCGGCTATTCACTTCTGGCTTGTACGGCTGACTTCAGCCGTACATCGGCTGCCTTTGGCTGCACTTCAGTCAGCTGGACATGCTCTGCATGTTCAGCTGAGCTGAAGTGCAGAAGGACTTCGACTCAGCCGATCCAACATCTGGATCGGCTGAGCCAAAGCTCCGGCAGCTCACTCACTGCCATTCACTCTATTCCCATAGGGGCGAACGACAGTGAGTGAATAGCAAAATGCCGCCGAGCGACATTTGGCTCGGCTATTCTGCTCAGTACCTCCGTGGTACCGAGCAGAATAGAAAATCAATGGGAAAAAAAGGTTGAAAAAAAGATTTCTAAAATGTAAATAAATAGTTAAATAAAAGAAAAAAAAGATTTTTTTAAAAGAAAAAAAAACAACTGTTTCCTATTGCCCGGCACCTGCCAGTCTTCTATCAGGTCCCGGTCAATGAATAACAACTTGGTGGAGCTGGCCATGACATCACAGTGGGATCATTGGAGTGGAACCCACCTCTGTTCCAGCAAAAACCCTGACTGGTACCTTCTTCTTGCCACCTTCTTCTAGCCACCTTCTTTGAGATCGCCAGCCATCCTGATTGGCTAGGTCAGGTTGATGTAAGTCCCATGCATACACACAGTAGTTAATTTATCCCGGCATCAGGTAGATGCCTGGATTGTACACTGAGCTGTGCAAATAGTTTGTGAAAAGGAAAGTAAGAATCCTTTATTGCAGAAAAGACAGTGGGGTTAATTAACTAAAGGCAAATAGGCTGTTCACTTTGCCGAGGAATTTGCAATTTGCTAGGGTATTTTCCCTGAGCTTAGTCAATGAGGTGGAGCTTTGCTGACTTCCATGATCCAATTATGTGCAAGAAAAAATACTGTGG